CAGAGGCATGCCGTCTTTTAAACGCCCAGAACAAGGGACAAGGCCTTCAGAGCCAGCTGAAGCTGCCAGAACACCAGCTTCTCCTCCTCGCCCACACAATGACAGCATTGTGTGGGGAATCCAGCCCACTACACTCAGTCTCCCGCTCTGAAAACCCAGCTACAGTGATGAGTCAAGTCAGAACCAAGGAGCTGAGCTTTCGGTGACAGCCAGCCCTATAATTGCTTATACCAGCTGGATAAATCCAAGTTGCTCATTTTGTACGGAATTTGTTTGCGTGCGATCTAGCAACACCCAGAGAGCCAGGGTGGGGAAAGATTTCAGAAGTCTTTGACTGAGGTCATGGAACATGCAAGTAGATTCCAAAACCTGCCTCTGAACTGCCACACAGTTTACAAAATGGAAAAGTTGTAAATAAGCTGAATATTGTCAATGTACTGTATTTTACACCTAAAAAGACGGACTACCTCTGGAATTTTTCTTGCAAAACACGAGTGTACTGTGAAGATCAGTTTGGTTTTGAGATTCTAATACATAAACAAAGCCATTGACAGGCTATGATGCACATAAGCCTTTTTCAACATAACACCCAGAAATAAACACAAAGACAAGATTTGTTCTTAAAAAAAAAGGTTTAAAACACCAAAAAAATCCTGACTGCTGAATTTAACTGACCAAATTGAGAAAAAGCTCACAATATCAACCTTCTGAAAGCTCCCAAATTTCAAATTTGGAAGGCAAGAAGTCAGCTAATCTAAATCCACAATCACAAATAAAATTTTCAGCACGAAGATACTAAAATTAGAAAACAAGATAGCTTAGAATTATTTAGACAGCTCCTAAATTTTCACTGTGGTTCATAAGTGCACTTTATGAAATACTCCAGCCCCTAAAAACCTCAAAAGATTAGTACATCAAAACAAGCCACAGAAAGTCTTTCTAGTGGGGCACAGTACTGAAGACTCTGATAATGAGTAAGATAGAAGGATCACTTAAAAAAGGGGCACTTAGAATACCAAGAGTTTGGCAAAGGAGGTTAGAAGGTTGTTGCCAGGTACCTGAAACAGTACGGTCCAAGGAGTCGGTAAAGGGGGAGGAAGTACAGGAAAAGGGACCGAGTGGACACCTAACCACAACATGAGAAAATCACAGCAAGGGTTTGACAATGAAGGCAGCAAAAGGCAGATTCTGGAGGGAAAAGGACAACACATTGTGCAAATTACAGTGCTGCAGATCAGAAATGATGTCATCATGGCACGATGCTGAAAAACTGCACGCCACGACATTACAGTTGGTGATGACACAAAGAGAGAGGATGGGAAGTTCTGTCTTCATGAACTCCGTGTCTGAGGTAGCAGTGAGGTTAGCAAGAGGGCACACCAGGGAAAGACAGCAGGAGAGAAAGTCAGAGATGGGGGTAACTTTGGAAATCATCCATGGGTGGGTGACAACTTAGGGCAGACAAAATCTCCAGCACAGCAGTTCCCAAATCAAGCATCACAAAGCCATAATCACCACCCACAGCTCTCCAAGGGCTCATGGCTGGAAGGATCCCCATTAAGAATACACCCTTTACCGGCAGAATCTTGCCACTACCTCCTCCACTGGTCTACCATAAAACAGGTCAGTAGCTGATGCTTTGGAGATGGAAAACCAAAGAACTGAATCTCAGGGAAAAGCACCAGGGAGTGGACAAAGAACCATTTAAAGAGACACTGAACAAACAGTAAGCAAAGTAGGAGAAGAGTCTGAAAAGCCCTGAAAGCCAGGACAGAGAAAGCCTGCAGAATCAAAGGCAGTCACCAACCCAAACCCTTGAGGACAGAAAGCTCTCCCTTTGACCTAGACGGAGACTGCTAGTGATCACTGTGACAGCAGCTTCGCTGAAGCTCAAAGCAGAAAGGCAAAGGAGAACCAGAAGAAAACGAAGGGAGAGCTAGCACAGAAAAACAAAAGCAATGGGGCCCTAATTAGATAAATATGATACGAGCAGAGTTTTCCATTTGTGTTTCCCTTGAGAAAAAAGACTGCCAGGAGTTTGAAGCGAAAGGTAAATGAGTCAGAAAGGAAAAAGGAAAAGACTTGAGAAAAGGACCTCAGGGCAGAGGGAGGTGCAATGCAGGAGGGTAAAAGGAGTGAATTTAAGGTTTAACATAACAGAACATAGATTGCAAATCAGGTGAAAAAAGAAACAGCGGAAATAAGAGTGAAGAAAGAGAAAACGGCAACAAGGTCAGCAGAAAATAGGGGGAAAAAAGAGACCTAATACTTGATTCAGCTGATATTTTAATCTAGCTTCTAATGGAATAAGCTTTGTATAACCCAGCTGTCTGTAAGCAAGGCCGCCTATCCCCATCCCAACAGCTTTTGAACATGCTGGTCAGCTTCCGTGAAACTCCAAATCTCAAAGAAAATGAAGTTTGTTGAAATTGCATTGAAACGTGTGTTCAGGTAAAGGAGAAATAAATCCGAGTTTCTCAACTAGACAAAAGGCTGTAACATGCATTCTTCCTTATTATTGCTCCCTGATTCACCACAGAATCAGCATGAAACTCCAGCTCCGTACTGAGCAGAAGCCTTCAGTGAAACACACGCTCTCTAATAAAGCTGGGTTAACCAACTGAACAGCAGAGATCCACAGGAGAGAAGGCTTCCCCAGCGACTGTGCTTATTTAAACTTGCAAAGCACCCAGCTAAATTTTTGTATGAAGAGGGCTGGAGACATGGAGAAACATGAACTGATAGTGGAACCAAGGGTGAAGGTAGACTTGAGTACAGGCTGGAGCCCTGACGGTTAGAAATGAGAAGTACAAGGTGGCAACTTATCGTACAGGACCAAGAAATGAATGTGTGAAAGCAAGTGTAGAGTAAAAATGAATGAAAAGAAAAATAAACCAAATGGTCCAAAAGGGCTCAGGAGAAAAGGGTAACATTCTTCAGAGAAAGAGTAGAAACTGGCAACGTAGAGGTTTCTGAGGCTGTCTCTGGTGTTGTGGCCACGTACTGCTGTCATCCAGCACACCACTTCTGTCGACCTGAAAGCTCAGGCAACTTCCCACAGCACATGTAGCACATGACTGTCCACCAACGGGACCACTGGTTGACTCAGCGGTCTCATTGTGTTCTTTGCCAGGTTCTGGCACTCACTAAAGAAGCTGATTCCATCAACGGAAGATTTGCAAAATCCGAGTCCAACCTGTTGAAGAGCTACCGTCAACTAACCCACATATTACCAGTCTCAAGCAGCTAAGTTACTGCTTTGGAATCTCGTTATTTCTCATAGACTGACAGATTTTGTATGTAACTATTTTTTTTTTCTTTTAACAGCAGCTATTTCTAAGTGCGGAATTACCCCATCTTGCAAATTAGCAAATAAGCGAACATGATTTTTTTGTTGGTGAATAATGGCTAACACATTATAACATAGACTTCTTCATGTACTTTGACACGTGCGGTCTTGCTTTAATTATTTATGAAAATGCTTTGCAGTATGCCAATAAAAGCCCTACAGTATATGTGACCTCTCTGCCAGAGTCTGCAATTACGTCTGTGCTTAGAGGGAAGGTGTAGGTGAGCAAATGACACCACCATTTGTGTGCTAGCATCTGAGTATGATGAGATTTCCTGTTCAATGAAATCAGCTACAGCATATTCTTACCATAGTTATTCCTAATAGACACTTAAATTTCAATAGTTTTGTGGCATCTAAAAGAAAAAAAACACAAGACACTGTGACCAAGGAAAACCTCAACACCAGAAAGAGATTCTAAAACTGTGGTGAGCTTAGTTACTTTCAGTACTTCAGTATCTATGGTTATAAAACAGGGGATAAAGCAGACTCTAATCCTATAGTTTCCTGCCTAATGACACAAACCCAGGACTATGATATTTTACGTCACTACAAAAGGCCAGTAGCATGGAACAAGCTGCAGGTTCAAAGGATAAAGTAAAAATACCTAACCGCACAGTATCTGAAAAATATTCTAATGTTTCCTACAAATAAACCAGCAAAATACCTTTTATTACTTTATTCTAGTAACTTTATTTGTATGGATGTAGTGCCTGTCACATTTTCGTCATGCATTAGAATCTTCACTGTACTAAGCACTACACAACTATTTTAATTTGATGTATTAAAATCATAGGTCTTTTGTTTAATCATTAAAAAAGAACATTGCATTAGGGTACCATAACAAACAGAGTTAACTACAAGAGCATCTGTCCTATGGTATCTCTTCTTTAGCATTTTTCACTCTTATCTTCTTCCTTGCATACGTAGCATTCACTGTATGTACACCTCTAATTATTGCCATACACACATGGTTTAGCTGACATTGCTTCTCTGATGTGCTTCTAGTCTTCCGACATTCCCCACTTTCGAACGGCGTATCGTGTTACCACACCCTATGGATAGTCAGTTCATGCTCTGACAATCACAGCACTGGAAAGCAGCTAGCAGATGTGCCAGCACTGTAGTCTGCCAGATTACATTTTGCGAATACCACCCTGCTAATCCTCAAATTCCCAATTTGATTTGAGATTAGTTAGATAGTTAGAGACTATGCCAAAAATTTCCAGATGATCAGATCCTTTTCCCAAATTCCACCCCCTGGATATACAGAGGTAGCAGCACACAGAAAAATCCAGGCTGAGAGCAGACAGCGACCATGTGAGTTCTCAGACTATACAAGACAGACATTGAAGAGTCTCCAAGTATTTTCAGTTTATTCTTTGATTATCTCTGCATCTATGATCATATTATCATATTAGTCAATACTTACAGAAGTCCCTGAAAGACATACTTTGGCAGAAGTTATGAAGGGAAATCATTCCAGGCATGATGGTCATTTACGGGGCTTTACTCATGAATCAGAATTAATTCACAGAAGCAAGGCACAAGTGTCTTTGGAGACAACCAAGTCACACCAAATTTCATTGCTTTGCCCCTCCCTAAAATCAAATGCAGTCCTATGAAAAGAAAGGGAGATGACGGCACTCACCTTGCATCCCTCACAAGCACTGACACCATAGTGATATCCGGATGACTTGTCTTGACAGACAAAACAGGGCTTGTAAACTCGAGGGGGTGGAAGCGGTGAAGGAGGGCTCGGAACAAGTTCCTCAGAACTGGTGCTCTGAGTTTCAACTGCTACAAAAAAGAAAAGAAATATAATCAAATTACTCATGAATGAATTGTAAATAACTGTTTATGGTATTATAACTACCAAACTGGCCCATATCTATCTTTGTACAGCAAACATTCATTTGTCTTTCCTAGTAAAAATTAAAGGGAACTAAAGTAAGCCCAGTAGTGGCAGGACTACATGCTATATAGCCTCAAGAGCTTATTTTTAAGTATTCGATCGTTTTTCATGATCCAGCTACTCAACACCACAAAAGCTTCAACTCACTTCAGATATGGGGCTTGAATTTCTTACCAGGCTCCAAAAATGGACAACTTTGGCCTTATGTTCTGGTTTCAGCCTACTGAATTGCATGGGATCCATGCGTGCGTGCTGGTATCAACCTGCAGTGGGAAACTGCTTGTGGCACGTACCCTTCCAATCGGTACAGAATTTTGGGAGAGCTCTCATACCTCTTGCCTTTTTCTATGAAAGGTAACAATTCCAACGTGCAGTTCTGCCACAGCAGGATAGCAACATGCATCAGGACATCAGAGACAAAATTACCCAAACAAGTCTTCTTTCTTTTTTAATCTGTAAAATTTGTTTGTTTTTTAACCTGTAAAATTTGCACAACCTAGCAACACTTCCTTATCTACCTTAGCATTTGGAACATCAGGAAACCTCTCTGAGAAAAAGCTACTTACATATTATGATCCTACACCCCTTTATTGCCTTAATATTTCTAGATGGTCGTTTGTTTTGAACCTGCTGAAAAGCCAGTTGTACCTCTCAGGGAAAGGATGTGAAAGCTCTACAATGTGAGATAAGACACGCGAACTACATCTTTCCAAAACATCTGCATTAGTTTTTCTGTGATATGCTGTCATCATTCCTCACATTTATTGTAGATGTGCAATATATTTTCATGTTTCACCTAGCCATTCTGCTGCTTCTCCGATAAATCCCTCTAACTTTTCAACAGATACACAGAAACGACAAGATCTGTGAACTCCAGTCTATCCAGAAATATTAGGCACTATCAAGAAAGCTAAATCTCAAGAGTACTAACAGCAGGCCCTAAAGAATATTACTCAATGGAAAATCTTAGACAAGATTTACTGTACATGATATTTTTCAGATTACAAAGATGATACATTTGTATTAAACTCATGATTCATTGTCAACTCATGTTCTGCAGAATTCACAGAGGGCATCACAGAGCACGATGCAACTTCTGATTACTTGTGAGAGAAGGGCCTCTTTCTGCCATTTTTACCTGGGTCAAGCCACCGTCAACTTCAAGGACAAACATTTCTTGAGAAGAGAATAAATGCTAGAGTGAAGTGTTAAAGGCTCTGATTCTAAGCAAAGAAATATCTTTCCAATGGGAACAATTTATTTCTACATCTAACAATAATGAGGCTGTGAAAAAAGAGAGAAGTAAAAGAACACTTGGCTCCATAAACTGTGAAGTTAAGACAATGTCCAGAACTATACTTATCTTTTTCAGTATTTAATACACTGAACCTTGGCAAACCAAAAATCTACAGGTTCCTACTGCACCAAGCAAACAAAAAGTTTTTTCTTAATGAAAACAAAGATGAGGATGATCATTTCTTTTCAACAGCAATTTCTGGTATTTAAGAGAGACAGATAGTGCTCTGTTATTGATCTCCGCACAGTCATCCTGCTTGAATCAATAATCTATTAGTACTTTTAAATTAAAGTTAGATTCATCAAATGCCCTTGAGAGGCCTCAAACGTTCTGTGCCCTATTTCATGCTCATACATGAATTATGGTGGCTTCCGATCAGTCTGTCGAACGATAAAATTTCAGCTTTAAAACTCTAATACTAGCCGACAATGTGTTTCGTATTAGCTCATTCAACTCTCCCAGTCCATCTAAAAGGCAGTTTTTAGGCTCCCCATGGGAAAACAAGGTTGTGTCATTCAATAAAACAACTGCACTCCTGCAATCCTTCTGTGATTTCAGTTTGGGGAAAGCAGTCTTTGAGGAATAATACCAATACACTTCTGCTCGTTTGATGATTTCATCCTAAACAAGCACTAGCATCCAACAGCAGCATTCAAACCACGAACCATATGTACAACAGAGGTCTGTCAGGCACTGGCCAAGCACTGGGAACTTGCGATACCCAGAAGAGATTAAGCAACCAGTTCAGTTCATAAACACACAACATGGCAACTGAAGAGCTGAAGATACCACTATAGAAATTTTTTCTGGACAATTTGATAAGGTATATGAGAAGGAAAGAGCCAATGTAAACCTGAAGACCCTCCCTAAAACACCCATACTTATATATATATATATATATGCCACTAAAAGGGCTTAATCTATTCAATATAATACTTGCATCAGCTGAACAACTGTCCAGAGAGTTTGATTTTTTCTAAGAAAACCCAGTTTGGGAACATTCACTTTTGATCACAGGCAAGATGCACAGCACAGCTTTCTGGAGCAGGCTTAAACTCATGCTACACATGTTCGATTCTTACTCTGGCTTCTGACTTACTATTCTTCCTTGGATTTAACCTTGTTAACTCTTTATTTGAAAATGCATGTACCGACAGCATGGAAGAGCAGAAATCCGGTGCAGGCACCTGTAGCAATTCATGCCTAGCAAGTATAAAGCGTTACTTCTGTATCATGTCGGTGGCTAGTGGATCCATGACAGCAGCCCTGCTGCCTTCCCTGCATGTCTGTAGTTGGAAGGTGGAAGAAAAAAAGGATGGGGGGTGGACAGAGGACATTTCCAGAAGAGGCATTTTCAAAGCAGTTTCAAAATTTTAGGAAGAATTCAAGGAAGAAAAAAAAAAAAAAAAGGCAACTATGCCCTGCTGTCTTGTCCTGTGGGATGTGACACTTCAGGGTCCCTACTCACCTGAGAAAACAGAGCCTGAGTGCCGTCACCCAACACCTGAATGCTGCTTAAGCACACAGGGACTTTCAAACAACTGGTCACTTCACAATTCCTAAGATGTCTGAAATATTTCTGAAGGTTAGATAAAGCAGCAGATAAGATCTTTAAAAGCACAGTGTGCTTTGTGAGAGCTAATTTACTGCCAGCTAAACCATGCTGACAGATGGAGGAGGTATTTTACTTTGTGACCAACTAGAAGCAGGCAGGCATTATGAAATACCTTGCATTTTGCTAGAAACTCGGATTATTAAGCTTGTATGTTAATGCACACTTCGGACAGTTGAGTCTTAAAAGAACAAGAAGTTGTAAAGCAAATGGCATTTCCTGGATAGCCTCAAGGGAATTCTGAATACTGAGCTCAGGGTCCCTGGTGGGAAGCAGCAATTTCAGCTAATTAGGGTGAATAGCAAAGTGTTGCATTTGGTCAAAACATTCTGTTAACCCTCATTTTTGTTGGCACCAACAAGAGTCTGGATTTTTAGCCTCTCTTTTTTTTTTTTTTTTTTGTGAATTCACTGCAGGAGCGCGAGGCACACAGCTCACATACATTAGGCAGAAAGTCAAAGGAAACGCCAAAGTTCAACTAAAGTACAAGTAATTAGAACCAGATTCTCTGCTGCTTGTATGTGTGCATTTGATTGTAGAAGTTATTTATAAGCCTCCAAACTTTTGAAAAAATAACTATATACTGTAGATCATTTAATTTTTATGTCTCGTCTGGAAAAAAACAGTCTGCTTTTAATCATCTTCCAGGAAAGAGCCAGGAACTGGGAAAGTGGGTCTCAATTGTTTCAATACAAATTTCTCTCTTTCATGTGCCACATAAAACTATACTATAAAATTAAATCCAAAATATCATTTACTCAACTCCCCCATCCAATTTTTTTTTAATAAAAAAACCTCTTTGAATTTGTCATGCTTAAATAGTTTGCATTGTTAGGAGGGTTTTTTTCTTTTTGAAACTGTTGTTTGGAAGACAGACAAGGGGAGAAGGAAAAAAAAAGAAAAAAAAAAAAGAGTGAGAGAGAAAGAAAACATTATCATGGAGACTTGCCAGCCTTGACTTAGTAACCTGGCCATGACCCTCCAGCGAGTGTGTGTTTGACCCGGTCACACATGACTCTGGCTGCGTACTGTTGCTGGGTTGTAAGTCCCAGATATTTTTATCATATATACAACAGGTGGGGATCACAGACAACCGAAAGAGGAAAACAAAGTCTTCCCTTGTGTGAAGACTCCCATTTTCTCCCTTGCAAGGACAACAGCACAAAGCGAAGAAGTTGTGCTCCTATTTCACGTGGGGGTGCGCGCGGTGCCGCGTCGCTGTTTTACCCCGGGGCTGACGGCGTGGAGGGGCAGCGGGCTGAGGGCAGGAGGACAGAGGGAAAGGCTCGGGGGAAACCACGTGCAAATGTTCAACCAGCGCAAGAACGAATTACCAAACTGAAACATCGGAACCGCAATCAAAAATCTTTCCTCACAGGGCTGGGTATGCGTCGAGGCTCAGGAGGGAATGCTTTTTATTACGAGTGAACACAACATACCTAGATTAAAACATACTCCAGATTGAGGTATTACTATCAGGATTTTCAGAAGTACTTAAGAAAGCATGTTTTCCACATTCAAGGGTTTCTTTTTTATTGTTTGCATCTTGCTAGCTGCACACATCTGCCTTAAAGCCATGATGTTAAAGCTATTCTATTTTAATTCTTGATTACAGTTCTTCCAGCTCTAATTTTAATCAAGTCATAGTTCATCTCTACAAGATTGTCTAGGTCTCAAAAAAAAAAGGTATTCTTTGGGCTGAAAGCCAAAAAAAGCCTCTAAGTCTTCAAGTTCACTTTTAGTCTGAAAAGGGGCATTCTACTTTCAACAGACATCAGAAGATGAAACTTTATGACCTGGTTTCTGCTTGAGGGTGCCCAATCCAAAACGACTCCTTTCTGTTATTTTACAAGCTAAAAGAGTATCCTGTGAGTTTTCACTCCATGCTGCTCAGGATTCCTACAGTACAACTAAAACAACAACAAAAATAGCAAGAAGTACAAGTTATGGAGCTCAGAAGCCAAACCTGCAATGTCTTACTAACGGACAAACTGCACACAAGGTCACCTAAATGGTGCCTGGGACCAGGTCATTTTGAGAGCCATGCCTAGGGCACAGGCTGCTGCTGCCAACAGCTCGCTCAGACAAGGTGCAAGCCCCGATAGGCGCAGTCGACTTGGCAGAAGCCTCTAAAGCCAAAGAGCTTTTGCTGTTAGGACTCTTGTCAGTGAAGGAGCGCTATGGACAGCTGGCTTCTGTCCCGTCACATCTGGGAGAAGAGGGGTCCCGCTGAACTCTGCCCTCCCCTTGCGAGTACGCGAAGCAGCTAAGCATGCTCGCTGCTCCGATAGCCTTTCCCTAATGAAGTTCCAAGAACAAATTTGGCCATTGCCCCACTGCAGGCAGACATACCATCAGGACAGGATTTTCTTCCCCCACCCTTTTGCATCTCGTGTATTTAGACAGTATGCTATTTTGGGCAAGGTCTCAAAATATGCTGTACAGTAACCAGCGCCACAGGACCTTCAAGTGCTACTCCAATGCAAATAATAGTCATGAACGTGATCCTGCCAAGCCAAAAGGTGTTTGAAAGAATGAACCTTGAAAGGCCTCCATAACCTTGAGGAGAGCCACTACTTGCAAAGCAGGTCCTCAGAGCTCTTTCATTTTAACTGTTTTAGCATTTCAGTATTAAAACACAGACTAACTTCAAAGGATCAGTCTAAAAAAACCAAACTTCTTCATATTCAGCAAATGCCTTTGCTGTGTATACCAAGTTGTATTTGCCAACTGGAATAGCAGAAAAGAAGTGTTTACACACGCCTGTTGCATCTCCTCAAGTTTGGAGCTGGGAAAGAGCAAGCTGCATCATATTCCTCCGTGCCTTTCATCAACAAAATTGCCAAGTTTCAATTGCAAATCTGCAATGTTAACCAGCAGAGTCATGTAACGTAAGCCAGCAGAGTCAGTGGATACTGATCTCGGCCATACGACTGGAGCATAGCCCTTTGAAACCTCCATTCGTATCAGGTAATTAGGGCCAGCAAATAAAGTTCAGCATCCAACTACCAGCACAGCAGAGCTATCCGGATTTGTTTGCAGTAAATCAGAAGCCAAGTGCATTTATCTTTTGGTTATCCTTCTGTTCTAGTCTCGTAACACAATTTCTGTTCCTTAGCAGCTAACAACTTCATCTGTAGCACAGATTTTATCATTCCCACAAATATCCTCTGTCAGTTGCCCAGTGAAGGGTGGGGATTCTTTTGTAACATACTTTTCCGTAATGCCACAATCTGGCCTCTTAATTGACCCATTTGTTCAGCATGCTAATTTGGTTACCTGACTTTAGAGTGTCGTTTCTTAGGGCACTCCAGGGGCCCCACCTGCCAGCGCATCTTCTCGGGTAACACTCCTGCACAGATCACAGACACCCCGACTGACGTCCCCCCCATGCTGTCCCCGCCAGCAGCACAGCCTCCAGCACTTCTGGTCCTGCCGTATTCAGCAGCACGAAAGATTCTCCTCTCTTCTACCTAGCTGATCTATGAGCGTGGCCCCTGTCACTCCAGCATGTGAATATCCCATGAGCATTCGTATTTTTACCTTTGTAACGCCTAAATGAGATAAGGGAAGAGCTATTCATCTTACTTTACAGGCGGGACACAGAAGCACTGACAGCCTAAGAGCTTGATTTGCTTGGGTCTTAAATCCTAGAAACATGCAAGCAGTGCCCAAGTGGGATTTCCAACAGCAACCGACAACCTAGCTGTAGCTCCAGCAGTGTCTTCAAGACACAGCCTTACGTGTCTTGCCCCAAGTTACACACGGGATACACAGCAGGGAACTCGGTTAAGTCTGTGCTCAGTCCCTCTAACACAGGGGCTCCAGAGCAGCCCCAATTCAGCGTGTGCACCCCGCTCACCTGCCGACTGCAATTCAGGCCAGGGCTGGGTGCCTTCTGCCCCCGAGAGCCACCACCGCTGCCGGCAGGGAGCTCAGGAGAGATGATGAAAGGCTTGTCTTAGTTGTCTGATCTCCACAGCCAGCTAAGAGTCAACCTCTGGTAGAACTACCCCACCACATACACAATTACACAGGAATGTCCCGGCAGGCGACAGACCTGCCCCGAGAGAGGTCCCGAATCCTCTCCCGAAGGCAACTCAGCAGCTCCCGTGGACGTGGGTGCTGTGACCCACCCAGGTGTAAGCAACACGAGCAACTGCCACAAAAACCTCTACTCTCGACTACACTGTTCAAGCCAATGCCAGCCTTGTATACCACCAAGACGTAAGCCTGAATCTACCAGGCTAGTCTTACACACATCGAGCACACATGATCTGCCCCGACCAAGTATTTCTGAATGAAAACTCCCTGAAACCCCCTGCTGAAGCTACCGCATCACTATTGCAACCACCTCCGGTGCTTCTCCCAGTAAAGCCAGCACTCATGGTGACTACGCTCTCTACACACATATTTACTACAGTTAGCTGTAAAGAACAACGAGGAGGCTGCAGTCCTTAAGAGCAGACTCAAATTCT